TCATCCATGTTGTAGCATGGATCAGGATTTCCTTCCCTTTTTAAGGCCAAATACTATTCCATTGTATGGATATCCCACATCTTGTTTATGCATTCTTGGCTTTTGTGAATAATGCTTCTGTGAACATGGGTGTGCAAATATCTGTTCAAGTACCTGCTTTTTTTTTTCTTGATATTAGCCATCCTAATGGGTGTGAAGTGATATTTCATTGTGGTTTTGATTTGCATTTCTCTAATGATTAGTGATGTTGAACATCTTTTTATATGCTCGTCAGCCATATGCATATCACATTTAGAGAAATCCTATTCACGTCAAATACTGTATGATTGCACTTACATCAAGTAACTAACGTAGTCAAATTCATAGAAACAGAAAGTAATATGGTGGTGACCAAGGCTGAGGAGAAAGGGAAATGGGGAGTTGTTGTTTAATGGGTACTGAAATTCAGTTTTGCATAATGAGAAAGTTTTGAAGATTTGCTGCACAGCACTGTGAAGGTTCTTTTTTTTTTTAAAAGATTTTATTTATTTATTTGAGAGAGAGAATGAGAGAGAGCGAGCACATGAGAGGGGGGAGGATCAGAGGGAGAAGCAGACCCCCTGCTGAGCAAGGAGCCCGATATGGGACTCGATCCTGGGACTCCAGGATCATGACCTGAGCCGAAGGCAGTTGCTTAACCAACTGAGCCACCCAGGCGCCCCGAAGGTTCTTAATGCTACTGAAATATACACTTCCAAATGGTTAAAATGGTAAATGTTGTTCTTTTTTTACTCCACTTGTTTAAATATTGGTTACACTTCTCTACACCAGAAATAACTGATTTGAAAATAAAATTACAATAAGATAATGAACCATAATGACAACAAAGTCTGTAAAATATCAAAGAATTAACTGAGCATGCACAGGACCACGATGAAAAAGTGAATTTTAAAAAGCATAATAAAGAGCAAAGAAGATGATTCGAATAGATGGGGAAATACCCTCCGTTTTTTGCATGGGATGACTTAATAATAAAAAGAAGTCACTTATCCCCAAACTGCTCAATAAGCGCAGTATAACCTCAGGCAAGCTTCAGCTTTAATTCTGAGGAACTCAAAAAACTTACAGTACAATATGTCTGGAAAAAATAAAGATCCACAAAGAGTTACATAAGCCTTGGGCTAGGGCAGGGAAGACCAGAAAGGAGTATTCTCTCAGGTCCCTGAGCAGGAAATGACAGTCTTCTGTTATTACTGAGGTCTTGTCCCCGCCCGAGGCCAAAGGAAGCCCAAGTTTTGCATCTTTACACCCCCACCACCACCCCCACTGCCCCGACTTTGGTTTCTTTCTTTCGTGTTATGAATGCACCAACTGTCCTACATCTGTCCTTCTAGATCCACATTTCTCCACCCTGGGTTTTGTCCCAAGTGCTGGCCTGTAGGACATCACAGGGCCCCGAGCTCCTTGGCTTGCCCTTGCTTTCAGCCTTGCTCTGAGAATAGAGGGAGGCGGAGCTCGAGGTCAGGGTCTTTACTCCTTTGGTTCCCTCGCAAGGTCACTTTAGACTGGCTGTGTCCCTTGACTGAAGGGCACTGTTGCGGGCAAGCTAGTGACACTGTAGGACTGGCTCCTTCTGAATTCTGATAACCCCTCCAGTCCCTTGCCTCTTGGGACCTCGGGGTAGTCACAGGTCAGCTGCTGCTACTCCCAGGTTACACAGTGCTATCCCCCACCTACTTCTTTGGAAATACTTCCTTGTAAATAGACTCCCCTTGAACTATCCTATTTTGAGTGTGTCATCTGTTTTCTGTTGAGGCCCTGGGACAATGAAAGTCATTTCTTTCTTCATGCCCTGCCTCTGGCCAGTCTGGCCAAAGTCTCTTGGAAACTCATTTGTAGTGGAAACGTGGGAGAGGAAGGGTCAGGAGAGCAGGTGAGTCCCCCCGCCTCGGGGAGCAATCTTTTTGGGTTTGGGGTCTTTCCACTCTCTGCAGCCCCTGGGGACTGGCCTGGCAAAAGTAATTTTCCTAAATAAACATGGAGATTAAATACCAAGCTTTTTCTGGTCTTTTCACATGACTGTGTACATGAGTAAGGAAACAAAGAGAAGCTGGAACACAGGAGCATGTTGTCACTCAGGAAAAAAAGCACTGCGGATACACCCTCCCATGGTGTATTTGAGTTTTATTCCCATTGTCTTTTTTTTTTTTTTTAATCTGAGTATAGTTAACACACAGTGGTACATTAGTTTCAGGTGTACAACCTAGTGATTCAACTTCTCTCTACTTTATGCTGTGCTCACCACAAGCGTAGCTCCCATCTGTCACCACACAACACTATTACCATATCATTGACTATATGCCTCACGCTGTGCCTTTTATTCCTGTGACTCATTCATTCCGTAACTGGAAGCCTGTGTCTCCCACTCCCCTTCACCCATGTTGCCCAACCCTCCACCCCCTTCCCTCTGGCAACCATAAGTTTGTTCTCTTGTGTTTATAGGTCTGATTCAGCTTTTTGTTTGTTTATTCATTTGTTGGGGGTTTTTTTAGACCCCATACATAATTGAAATCATATCAAAAGAAGAGCCTCAAACTTGAGGTCAACACAGTTCTCTAAAGTATTGGTATCTGCCGCAAGGGTCGAAGGGACTCCCTGCATTCTGCATGTCCTCGTGAACACAGACCCAGCCCTTTTATGGGTGGACAGTTGGACTAGATGACCTTTAAAGTCGATTCCAGCTCCAAGTTCAGCTTTTAAAATGAGCAAAACATTGAAAGGAGAGACCATGTGTTGCACCAACTGGATTAGATATAACCCAAAAGCCTAACTGCCTCTCTCCCCACCCTCCCTACCCCCCCCCACACACACCTTTTTGGCCTTTGATTATGTTTAACATTCTACTCTCCTCACACAGTCCTGGAGCTGGCCCACCATTACCCCACTTCTTTCCATCCAAGCACATCTCATCACCCCATGTAAGGACATGTAGTTCCTCCCTTTTCTCCCTCATCTGGTTTCCTGGATCCCAGGAGACCTACATGGCACTTTTTCTTACTCCTTATCTGGAAAGGGACAGCCTTCCCTATAAAACAAAAACACACAAAGTTAGGGCAAAGAGAAGCCTGCCAGGAATCTCCAGAGGAGGACTGGAAGCTATCCAATTAGCTGACTCTCTCCTTCCTTCCCCTGGGGGTCTTGTCACTTTGATTCCCACTGCTGTGACCAGACCCAGACCCTTGGATGTGCAGCTTCCTCAAAATCAGAGACACCACCCAAAGCCCTACCCCCAGACCAGACTAGCACTTCAAAAGGAATTTGCTTTGTCAACCAAACAAAAACAAAAACCATGAATGGAAAAACGAAAATGAAACAACATTAATAAGACTTTAAACAGCAAGTTTTTAAATTAAGTCAGGCAGAGGTAGAAGATTATTTACATGATACACAAGCTTATTCATTAAATGCTATATATAAATGCAAAAAAATAAATATAAAACTGATAAAACCTCTAGACATTAATTTCTGAGCCTACATTTGCCAATTAGCACAGCACACAGCACTTTCCCTCTTCCGACCTTATATGGCCTTGCTCAGAGAATAACCGTTTTAAATTCATGAGCACTTTCCCCTCCCATTGACTTCTCCAGGAAACTCCTTCCAGAACAAATGCTCTGATCACAAGGATCCTTCTGGGGAAACCATGGATGTGGAAGAGATCAATTCACTGGTTGGACAAACCCTGAGCACCTACTTTGGACATCAAGTCCATAAGACCAGTGCTTCTGCCATTCCTCTGTAGTCCCCCATCAGCACAGAAACAGTCCAAGGATGAAGGGTTCTAGCCCCCATGACCACCCCTCACACCCACACAGAAACACACACATTCATGGAAAGCAGCACACAAGAAGGTTCTGCAGTCTGTCTTCTGCCTCTTCCTCCAGCTCATCAGATTCTGATCTTACGGATTCCCATATAGACACACACATGCAAATATGCATCCATAGCCCCTTGTTCTCCCTCCACAACATTCCGTTAGGCTAAGCTGCTTCAATACTTGTCTTCACTTCTGGTTTCTTTTCCTTGCCCAAAGTCTAGTGTCCAACTCTAATTCCAAAAACTATGCCATTGCCCAGTTTTCTGTGTCCAGCAGGTGTCGCCCCTCACCGGAAACAAAATGCACCTCCCTTCTACAGTGAGAAATCTGTACCCCAACAGTGGATGGCCCTTGGGTTGGGGGTAAAAGGGAATGAAAGCGTGGCTCTGAAGGGTGGTGTGCTCCCCAGCATGAGGATCCTCTGGATAAAGCCATCTACTTACTTCCAGCTAAGGTAGACAAACATCCTATAGAAAATTTGTTCTTTGATCTTGGACAGGTTATTCACACTCCGAACCTTGCTTTCTTCACCCGTGACATGAAAGGAGACAATCTTTTCCTCCTGGGATTATTGTAAGAAGTAAAAGAGATACAAATACAAAGCACTTAGCCCAGCACCTAGGTCATAATAAGCACTTGAGCTCTTCCCCACTTAGGGTTTGGAAGAAGTAACTGCGCAGAACTCCCATCTGAAGTTAAGTTCTGCCCCCCTGAGTCCTATCTGAGGATCTGCATCAGGGTTGTGATGAGGATCAACAAAATAATGCATGCAAAGTACCTGGTCCAATGCCTGGCCCAGAAAGTTGAGTAACAAGTAATAACTAACATCTCTCTTATGGGCTCAGCATGTGCCAGCAATGTTCTTACCCATCTGCAAGTATGAACTCACTCAATCCTCCTAAGACCCCTTATGAAGTAAGTAATCTGTCAATTCCCTGCCTCTCCCTGATTCTGTGACTCCATTCAACCATAGCTTAATTTCTTCTTAGGAATTATAGATCAGAAAACTGCCCCCAATTCTGTCATGTCTAGAGGGAATAATCAGGAGGAAGTACTGACTCCTCCACTCAAGTAGGAGAGAAGTAACCCCAACCATAACTCTGCTCATGGTCCCTCCCCAGGGCCTCAGGAAAAAGCATAGAAAAACTATTTCAACCAGAGTTTATTCCTCAGAGATGACCGCCAGCGACTCACTGGCCCCTGTGGCACAGTGTGGCCTCCAGAAAGGCCTTTAACCTCCCTCCCCAGATGATATTTGACCCAGAAATATAGCCTTGGATGACAACTTGATTACAGAATATTCCCAGGAATGAGTTCCCCCAACTTGCTAAGGTGTACATGGGGTCGGCTGGGAAGTTCAAAGATCTGAATGGAGAAACCATAGGATCCAAGAAAATTTGTAGGGTCTGAGGATGGTGGGGGGACACAGCAGCATCACTAAGAGTTTGAATCTTCACACTTGGGGTAGAAGGTGTAGGACTCTGCCTCTAATTGACGTGTTGACCTGCAGAAGAAATAAAAAGGAAATAATAAGGCTTCAAACCAACTTGACCCCATCCTCTGTTTCTATAACCATCCATGCCAGAGCCCTTAATACAGTGATATCAAAAATTCTAGACCACCAAGGACTAATACTACAAAGCCACTTTCAGTCGTCTCCCCATAGATGCTCCATTGGATAGAAGAAGGGTGTGTAGGTCCTCCTCCTTCCTGCTCCTAATCCCAAAAATGGCAGTTTAAATTATGCTCTTGGCTACATCCTGGTGGAACGTCACCCCCACTATAAGCACCATTAGCTGAGCCCAACACTGACTCCCGAGATCTCTCACCCCTCCAAAGGACCAGTAGGCAAACAGACCAACAGAGATGTTACCTTCTGGATAACTGGCCCCAGGGAGGAAAATATAGCCTAGGAGAAGAAAATATCTGATTAGAGGACAGTCTATAGATAAAAGTATCTGGTGTTACAGCAAATGAGGTAGCAATGGGAAAACAAGTCACGAATAAAAAGTGAACAGAAATTGGGAGTGAGATTGGCAACAGGAGGTCAGGGGCGGCACTCACCAGACGAGCCAGCTCTCCGCCAGCTGAGCAAACCAAGAGTGAAAATGATGAAGCCCAGGCCCAGAGTCACTGCAGACACAGAAACCTTCACTATCTGCATCGGGGACAGCCCATGTGCTGCAAAAATAGAAACTTACTAGAACCGATCTGTCGCTCATTGCCAGAGCAACATAATTTAGTGTGACCTCCACCTAGTAGGTTCAAAGGTGCCAAGCGCACACCAACCTACACCCAAGGAGACAGACTTTCCTCAAAAATCCCCATTCTGTAGCTCTGTACTCCTAGAGTAGCCCTGGGGGACCCCTCACAAGAGTTAGCACCCTAGCTTCTAGGTCCTCTCTAATACAGTGGGGGCTCTCAAGGCATCTTTTTTCCTTCCTTCACCCTGAAGTTTCCCTCACCAAAGAATAAAGGATTCCTCATTCCCCTCTCCATTTACCCCATAGTGACAATGTTTGCTCCCTTATGTGCTCTACCTATTTGTCTATTAAAATGTCATTCCACCTTTCTTAACTCTCAATGATCCCATTCCACGCGTCGTCTGACTACTGAGGTATCTCCTCCTGTCTACATCCAGATTTCCAGAACCTGTCTCCATCCCACTCCATAGCTCCCACTTCCTGGAACCCATTGTACTCTGAATCCCACCGCACCTGGATTCCTTCCCCCATGCTAAAATGAACATTCCATCACCAAAGGAAGCTCTGGTGCATACTGGGGAGGAGACTTTCCCAGGAGAGTTCCGGTGCGCCTGTGGGTTCCTCTCTCTGCTCTTCATGCCTTTCTCTGCTGCCCAGCAAGACAGCACTCCCCAAAGGGGGAGTCCAGTCTCAGCAGCCAGTCTAGGATTCTGTTGCCTAGCCCTTCATAGATTCCCCTCCTCTTCCTCATTGTTCCCTCTTCTCTTTCCCCAAATCTGTGTACCAAATCTCTTGGTACATTTAACTACTTCCAATCCTGGGGTTCAAACAGTGGTAATTGGTTCCTTGTTCATTAGCCCCCAAGCATGTAAACCAAAGTGTTTGTCAGCCAGGCTTTTTCTTCCCTGACAGAGCGGCCCAAATTCAGTACTGCCTCCACACCAAAAGAAAGTCCCGTTTCTTCTGAAACCTTTTTTATTCCTTCAATTCCCATTCCTGACCAGACAACAGAATAGTTGAAATCTGAGGATCCTAAAATGTTGCATCACAAATTTTGGTTGTGAAAACATGGTCACCAAACCACATCCTCTTTTCAGGATAGCCATTCTGCTCCCCTGCCACTCTCAGACACACAACATCAACCACCCATTGCCCCATCTCTGGTCATCAACCCTCCACCAGTTCCTCCAGGCTGGCTGCTCATTCTCAGCATCTTCCTCCCTGCCATATTCCATGGACCTGTCCACATGTCACTCCCTGTGCCAAGACGTTGGTGTTCCTTTTCAACCACCCACTCGCAGTAGCTCTCTGCTTCAACCCTAATTCCTCCCACCCGCCGTGCACTTACTCCAGTACTCAGAGACGGGCTCAGGAGCCCCAATGTGCTCCACCACACAGGTGTAGGTGTCCCCATAAGAGGGGGTTGTAGCTAAATGGGAGATGGTCTGATATGTCCAGTCTCCATTGGGCTGGGCCATCTTAGGGGCACTACTGTGAGAAGGGACAGGCTGCCCATTCTTCCTCCACGAGATGGTCACATCAGCTGGATAGAAGCCCCACACGTAGCAGGCCAGCATCACACGCTCCTTCGTGTTAAAAGGAGTGGTTTTGGCTACTTGCACAGTTGGTGGCCCTGCATAAGAGGAAAACGTGGTCATGAAAGATGGCACCATTCTGGTTTTTTCTCCAACCTGGTTTCTTTCCAGCTTCAACTCTTCGTGGCCTCCCCCACCCCCACTCCGTGCCTCCATACATCCCTTTGAAAAAGAGAAGTTAGACTTACTCCTGCTTTGCTCTTTATTTCCTCCCATTCCTTCACTGCCCTTTCCCTTCTTTCCTGTTCCAAAATTACGGTTGATCACATTAAGTAGAAGCCAGGTCTGAACTGCAAGCTGTTTCAGAAGTCCCTGTATTTATTTCAAGTATATAAGCTAACAGTTGTCAAGAGTTGTAGGTTGGGATTTGTAAAGGTAGGAAAAGATGTCTGCCCTCAAATCTAATTTAACAAACTAAGTGGCTGAATCAAGCAACATTTTTCCCTTGGATAGTTTAAGGAAATGAGCCTAACTCAGATCTAACTCTCTTAAATTTGGATTAACATAATCCGAAATAATGAGATTGTTAATATTGCTATTCTCTATTAGCTTATTCTCCTAGGTGACCCTCTTACTTACCTCCACCTTGGTGCTTTTCAAACAAAATCTTAAATAAAAATCCAAGAAATTGTGTTAAAATGCGGGTTCCCTAGGTTGCATCCCCAAATATTTTCACTGAGAGGATCTGTAGTGGCAATCAAGAGCTTGTATTTTTTACAAGCACCTTCCCCAGGCAATTCTGAGAAAAATGGTTCAGAAATAACGTCTTAAGACATATTCCTCTGTCTTATGGAGATCTCCATGTTTTCTTTTACCAATCTCAAGTCATTCTCAGTGCAAGGGCTTTGGGGCAAGAAAGCACGTTGAAATCCCCTGAAAGGCTTTCTAAATATTCCCATGCCTGGGCCCATCCCAGACCTAGAACATCAGAACCTATGATAAAGAGGCATGAGCACTTTGGGAAAAGGCATTCTGGTTATTCTGACACACTCCTGGTTGAACTCGACTCTGCATCCTGAGATGCCCTGAATAGATGGAAAGCCTCCTTACTCTCTTACCCCATTGGCCTCAAACATCACCTCCCCTTCTTTGTTCCTGTTCCACCCCCATCAACAACTCTTTGAGGGTCCACACTCACTCTTTCTACAATCCAGGTCCACACATTTTGTGCTTCTTTCCCGCCCAAATCTCCAACCTCTTGCCTATGGAGGGATTGAGGGATTCTCCCTGGCCTCACCTCTCCTAACTGTGCTTCCCAATAGTCCCTTTGTGCCCCTCTCTTCTTACGTGTCCTGTGGGTCAGTGATCCCCAGAAAGATTGGGTATGTGTGGCACAGTCCTGAAGCCCATTAGACAAGCGCTGGAGCAGGGATTCCTGTTGGTTGAGGTATTCTGAGAGGTAATTGGCCAAAACATTCAGTGCGCCAAATTCACAAGGGGCCATTTTGGCCTCCTCTGGATCCCAGCACGTCAGCAAATCCTTGTTGAAGGAGACACAATATGTGAAATCCTTTGGAGTCCCATCATCATTCAACAGACAGGTGCTTTCCACATGGGCTATAAAGCCACCTACAGGAACCAGAGAAAGGGGGCAGCTCAGAGACCTCTGCAGGGAGCCCAAGACCCAGTTCCTGCCCCAGTTACACCCAGTGAGTGGGGTGTAGCTTTCCTGCCTCAGGCAGCATCTACAGACCAAGCTCGTGTACTGAAGTCTCTGAGAGCACCGATTAAGGGAATAGATGGTAGCAGCAGAAAAGTTTTTAGATGCTGTTTCCTTTTTATGAGACTAAGTATGGGAACAGGAATTATTTGCTAGTTTAAACACAACAATTTACCCAGGACAAGACCTTCAGTAAGGCAAATTATTGAGAGAGAAAAGGGGTCAAGGGGAAGAGCCAGCTTTGTTGGCTGGATATATTATTAAATATTCACTCCACATATATTTATGAAGCACACACACATACGTGCTAGGCACTGGGCTAGGAGCTCAGGATGCAGCAGTAAACAAGACAGATATTGCCGTTGCCTACACTCCGGCAAAAGATATATATTACACAAATAATTATACAGTTCAATTATCTTAAAATTGCTACAAAGATACAAAGTACAAAGTGCTACTGGAGCATACACCAGGGAGACAAACTAGTCTGGGGTGTCCAGATCCAAGTGACTCTCTTGCCCCAGAGGAGCAGAGGAAGGGAGGGTCCCAGGCCAGAAACCCTTACCTGCTCCGGTGGAGCCCAGGCTGAGGCCCAGCAGCAATGGCAGGAGTGTGGTCATGCTCCGCTCTAGGGACACGCCAGGAATTCAGTCCCCTGGACCAATTCTTCCAGGGGCCCTGGGTTCTCGCCTGCTCCTGTAGCCCCAGCCTGGGTAGATGATGTCCAGACCCTGAGAGGAATAGAGTATAGCCCCAGCTCCTTGATCCCCACTAAATGAGTGATTTGGAGCCACCCAGCCCCTAGATACTAATCCTGTTCCTACCAGCTCTTCTAAATCAGTCCCAAACTAACAGTTGTCAGATTGCTTAGATGGTTAGATGGGCGGGGACAAATACAGAGACAAATCACTGAGTGCTTCAGCCCAGCATCATCAGTTACCAGGTAAATCTTATCCTGCCCTAGGCTTTAAACAACTGTCTCTTAACTCTTTCCCTGTGGGAAAGACCAGTCTGTAGGTGGATTTCCCTAGATCACTGGAGAGAATAATCCCAATATTCCCAGAACATTTGTAGCCTGGGCTGCCCACTGGTTTAACTGTTTCCCTTCAATATCCTTCCAAGACTGAGACTAGGTAACTTCTCTTGTCCCTTAGAGGGAGGTTACTTAGAAAGATATTGCGTAACCTTGGTCTGTCCTGTCACCTGGGAGATGGAGGCGGGAGCTGAAAGGCCCTTCCGGAGCAGGTGGCAGAGACAGGGATGTTAAGATGGAAGGAGGCACAGGGAGAATGCAGGGTTATCTGGCCTCAAAGCGCGACTGCAGAATAAGGGAAGCAGTTCCACTTTAGAGGTCAGAGACAGAGACTGGAAAATCTCTCCCTGGGATTCCATTGCTTCTTGCAGAGCTGCATTTCATCCTTCCTGCTTTTTTGGAGCTAGGAAATCCTACCCTCAACTACTCTGAGCCATCTCAAGGCAGACCAAAGGACAACGCCACTTAAACCCTTGATAAATAGCTGGTAATGGACCAGTTCCCAAAGCTCGCCTGCCTCCCCCAAACTTAACACTCTCCTGTGTGTTTCTCCCACTGGTCCTATCTGTCCCAGAGCAGGTCCCCGCATTATGAAGCCACTAGAAAAAATAAGATAAAGCTTCCCTCCTTTACTTCCCCTGGAAAAGGCAGGTTTTAAATGGCAATTCATTCTCCTATCCCACTGTGAACTATACAATTGGTGGCTTTTTCCATCACAAATTTAAAACCTGAAATTGGCTTCTCTCTGTTCCCCAGTGGCTGCAGGGCTGCGTCTCCCCGCATTAGTTTCTGCAAACTTTTGGATTTGATTTAGTAGTGAGCTAAATGAGAGAGGATTAGGAGAGAGCCCCTTGACGCCACACTTACCTGTCCTCCCCCAAAGCCCCCAACCCCAGGATAGTCGATGCTTATGAAGAGAAAAGAAGCATGTACCAAAAATGAATACAAAGATGAATATCAGAAACAAAAGACTCGTGTAACTAATTGAGATTAACTGAAGTTGCGTTTCCCAGCAACCCCCGCTCTCAACCCCGCCTTCATTATAAGATGTTTCTACATCCTACCTCCTCTAATGAGCCATCAGGTGAGCGGGAATGGGCAGAAAATGGGGGTGGTGAGTCCAAAATTTGTTGAGCTTCTACTTTGGAACTGATACTATACTAGGTAGGCCCTTTCCATGCTATCTCATATAATCTTAAAAGATCTGTCCAGCGTCCTCCTTTTACAGTTTTGAAAACAGCTCCAAAGATTCACACACAGACACACACTGGTGCACGCACACGAGCAAGCCCACACACTCACTACATCCTGGGGCTGAGATGACCCACATAAAAGTAGCCAGTGGTGCCCCCCCACTGAGAGACAGATAAAGGGAAAAGCCACTGGACCACCCAAGTCTTTGTTTCCCTGTTCTCAGAATTCCTTCTGTTCTTAGAACCAGCGTTTCCTTGCTTTCTCTTTTGACAGTTTCCAAACCGTGTGAACTCTTCCCCACTCGCACGCGCACTTCCCCCTGACGTTCTTCCTCCTCCCCCCCCCACCCCCCCAAGGTGGGCGGTGAGCCTGACCTCACGGGAGCCCGGATCTCTGTCCCCGTCTACAAGGCTCGCGCTGGCGGGCGCAGGAACGCCGGCGGTGAGGTCCCGTGCCCGCGCGGGGGTGGCCGGGGGTGGCGCTCGCCAGCCAGCCGAGGCCACACGGAGTTCCCTGTCTGGTCTCTGCTCGGGCAGCCAAAGGAGATGTGAAACCTTCCGTGAGGCAGCAGCAGGAAATGCAGAAGATTTCACTTCTCTATTAAGGAGAAGACTGAGGGTGCTTTTTAGAATAAGGCAGGACAGAAAACCCAGAGGCCCGTGCTCAGCCAAGAGCTTTCTTCCTTTCCCCTTCCCTCCTAATTTTCAGACCTAGTTCTGTCCCCCACCGCCCATCAACCCAAAAGACCGTTTCAAGTGCCCTGTCCATTGTGACCGGACAGCCATTTCTGTAGTGCCAGGACCGCCAGGAGCGTAGGAGTGAGGCAGCCTCGTTCCCACGTGCTCTCTTTCTTCTACCCGCGCTGCCCAAGCCCCGAGAGCGGGTCCTCTCCTTTCCCGCGCCTCCCCCTCCGGGCTGTCCACGGCGCCACGGGTGGACGAACCGCGGCGTTTCTGTGCAGAGCATTACAGGCAATGCCCAGCAAGGAGACGTGGACTCTGTTCCCACGTCATTCGCTTTAGGTCAGCTGGGGAGTGAGAACAGACATCTGTAAAGAGAAGAGTTTATGGTAAAGCAAGTAAGCGATAAGGCCAGTGTGCTTGAAAGAGAAAAGAGAAAAAAAAAGAAAGAGAAATCATTGAGGGCATGGACAGGGTGGACGGGGAGGTGGAACTGATGCTCTTAGGTAGGCGATTTCCATGCTATCTCATATAATCTTAAAAGATTATATGATTATAATCTTAATCATATAATTAAGTTAATCTTATAGATTAACCCTCTCCCGGAGGGCTGCTGGAGGTGAGCCCCGACTGCTGGGCTGAAGTCGTGTTCAGGAGAGGAAGGCCCCTGGCATCGCGGTCCTGGCGTAGAGCGCAGCAAGCTCCGCAATGTTCTGAGGTGCTGTTGGGGGTCTACCAGGAGCCTGGATTGGCTAAAACAAAAAGGAGCTACAATGCATCCCTGGCATCACACACTGAAGGAAGTCACAAATGTGGTCTCACGCTCTTCCTGAGAGCACGGCCATAATAATAAATCGCTTCTAGGTACTTCCTTCTGGTGCTCCCTGTAAGCTCTCAGGTTCCTCTTCTGGACAGATGGTTTCAACTCAAGCCTCAATTTTATAAACTCAAAAATTGTTCAACCCATCAATCACTTGCAATCTAAAACCCATAGCATGAGACCACATTTGTGACTTCCTTCAATGTCTCCTCAAAACTACACATACCTGCACCCTGCCCAGATTACCTTACTTCCCAGTCTGTCCAACCTCATCCCTCCCCACCCCCACCTCACCTCTGTCCTCCCACTCCCTCTTCTCTACAGGATTCACTCTCCAGACCCCGATCTTGGGGTTACAGTTGGGGTAACTAGCCCATCATCCTTCCATCCTGTAGCCAAATGACTTGCACGGCCAGGGGATATCCTACCTGATTTGCCACCACAACTCTTGAATGATGTTATCATCCCCATCTTAACTATGAGAAAATGGAGGCAGAGGGAGGTTAGCAACTGTCCAGCCTTACTCAGACACTAAGTAATAGAACCAGGACTTGGGGCGCCTGGGTGGCTCAGTTGGTTAAGCGACTGCCTTCAGCTCAGGTCATGATCCTGGAGTCCCTGGATCGAGTCCCGCATCGGGCTTCCTGCTCGGCAGGGAGTCTGCTTCGTCCTCTAACCCTATCCCCTCTCAGGTGTTCTCTCTCTCTCATTCTCTCTCTCTCAAATAAATAAATAAAATCTTAAAAAAAAAAAAAGAACCATGACTTGAACTGAGGATTTATGATTCTAAATTCTATGCTCCTAATAATCAGAAAATAATTGAACATTGCTAGCCATTTATAATAGTAATAAAAACCATAGATGTTTAGAAATTAACATTAAAAAGTATAAGAACTTTATGAATAAGAGGGAAAACTTTATTAAACTACATAAATGAACACCTCAGAAAGTGAAGAGACATATTCATGGATGGGGCATCCTAACAACGAAGAAGTCAATTTCTCCCCATATCACTAACCTAAATGCTGTCCTAACCAAATCATAGCAGGGCTTGGGGAGAACTTGTTAAAGTGATTCTAAAATGTGCACGGAAATCAAATCCATGAGTATCAGACAATTTTGATAAAGAAGAGCAAAATGGGACTTTGGGTATTGGGAGAGGTGAGTGATAAAGAAATGAAAACCAGCCCTGCCAAATAATAATACATATGAAAAGCCATAATAATTAAAACAATATGATACTGATATAGGAACTGACAAACCAATGGACTGAACAATTCAGAGACAAATCCATGCATATAGGGAAACTTGGTATAAAATCCCTAGGAATAAATGGAATATTTAGTAAATGATATTAAGAAGATCAATTTACTATTTGGAGAAAAAGAAAGTTGTATCCTTATTCCCATCATATGGAAAAATTCCAATCAATAAAGATCTAAATGTGAAAGGAAAACAATAACACAAATGGAAGAAAGCATAGTGAAATATCATATATGGCCAGATAAATATAAGGCAAAGCTTTTCCACCCAAAACTACTCATCAGAAAAAAGAGAATTACCTTACACCTAAGTCCTCGGGTTTTTTTCCTTTTCAAATTAAGGTCACTCTTTCAAAGCTGTTTTGAGAAGATATATTATCCTAAAATGATGGCAATAAATACAAGAAGGGGACTCCACACTGTTTTTTTTTTCTTAAGATTTTATTTATTTGTCAGAGAATGAGAGGGAGAGAGAGAGAGCACAAGCAGGGGGAGCGACAGGCAGAGGGAGAAGCAGGCTTATCACTGAGCAAGGAGCCCAATGCGGGACTCGATCCCAGGACCCTGGGATCATGACCTGAACCGAAGGCAGATACTGACTGAGCCACCCAGGCGTCCCCTCCACACTGTTTTCTATAGTGGCTGCACCAATTTACAGTCCTACCTACAGACCGCACAAGCGGTCAGTAACAGTATGGAGGTTCCTCAAAAAATTAAATATAGAACTACCATATGATCTAGCAATTCCATTCCTGGGTATTTATCCAAAGAAAATGAAAACACTCACTCAAAAAGATATATGCACCCCCGTGTTCATTCAGCATTGTTTACAATAGCCAAGGCATGGAAACAACTTAAGTGCCGATTAGTAGCTGGATGGTAACATATCCATATGGCTGGACACATATAACACACGTAACAATGAAATGTTATTCAGCTATTACAAAAAAAAAAAAGGAAACTCTTCCATTTGTGGCAACATGAATGGATCCCAAAGGCATTACGTGAAGTGAAATAAGTCAAACGAGAAAGACAGATACATACAATCTCTCTTATATGTGGAATCTAAAAAAAAATTAAAAATCAAAATAGAAAAAAAAGAATTCATAGATATGGAGAACAAATTGGTGGTTGCAGGGGTCAGGGGAGAAATTAATGAAATGACTTTGGTGTTTATTTTAGTTTAAATAAACTGATTTATTTTTAAAAAATAAATTTGTAAGTCATTTGCCTAATCAAAAAATACTGAGAAAAATAAAAATAAATTTGTTTGGGGTGGATGGGTGGTGCAGTCAGTTGAGCAGCTGACTCTGGGTTTCCGCTCAGGTCATGGTCTCAGGATGGTGAGATCTAGCCCCACGTGGGGCTCTGCGCTCAGCATGGAATCTGCTTAAGACTCTTCCTCTGCTCCTTCCCCCTACGCTCTCTCAAGCCTGTGCACACTCTCTCTCCCTCTCTCCCTCTCTCTCTAAAATAAATAAATAAATCTTTTTAAAAAATGAATTTGTCTTATGAAATGTTACATATTTCTCAAGGCAGCCTCTACTAGCCATAAATATTTTCACAACCAGTAAAATGAAAAAAAAAAATCTGCAATCAGCTTCCTCCACCATTTTGTGAGCAGATTATCAGAAAGTAGCTCTGCCCTCATTTTTCAAGTATTTTGCACAAACTGATAGGAATAAAAGCCATCGTATGGTGCTGAGAGCAGGGAACAGGAGTCAGTGGAGGAACTAGGGGTTTCCCCATTTCCCTCCCTAATGAGGGCAAGCCACGTTCAGGTTACGTGTTGGATTTGAAATGACAATCCACGCAATATTAAGAAATAAGATTTATTGCCCTGAAGTGGGAAGGAATGTGGTAGTGATAGGAAAGCCACTCTGGGTTCCCCTGGGTGCAAGCCCGGGGACAGCAGAGCCCCCAGCTGAGAAACCTGTATAAACGCGCACGTGCACACCCCTCGGGCCATCCCAAGGACTCCTGCTCGGAGAAGGAGAGATCTTGGGCTGGATGTGGGAAACCTGATCTCCCGCTGCATGCATGATCGACACTGCTGGCACCAGACTCTGGTCGGGAAGAATCAATCTGAGGAGGAGAAGGATGGAGGGAAGCCATCGGGGGACCCCCCTACTCCCCAAAGGCCCCTCCCTGCCTGCTGCATATCCTAGACAAGTTGATCTCTCCTTGGCCCCAAGTCATCTCCAAGCACCCCTCCTACAACTCCCCATATCACCCCTCTCCCACTCAAAGCCATGCCTGTGATCTGATAACTGTGTGTGTGTGTAACTGGGACCCCAACTGGGAGGATGTTCATGGTGCCTGACTCAGGCCTCCCCACCCAAAGGCCTCCCCATACTGCAGGATGACCCTGGGCATGCCCCCACGCGCCCCACTGTATGTGGCTCCCATGGTTCACCCACCCACTCCAGACGCTCTGACTTACCACCTGAGCAAGGCTTTCGGAAATACATGATGAGGACTAAGCCAGCAATGATGCCCAGCACACCCAAGCCAAAGGCCACACCACACAGCACATTCTCCAGAAGGTCAGAGGGCAGCGCATTATGGGGCACTGGAGAAAAAGGGGAGCAGGTCAGCCTGGAGACTTGGTCGGTGAGCCCCCCCACCTGGGGGAATTACATGGGTGTCTGGGATGAAACAGGAGAAACAGAGGCATGAAAAATTAAAGTTGCTCAGGGTGGGAATGGACTTCAACAAAGTCCAAGTAGAAAAAGAAGGCCCTTCCATGGGTCCATCCCTTTTTGCCCCCAAAAGGAAGCAGGCTTCCAAGGAGAAAGTTCTCACCCCAATAGGCAACTGCTGTGTAGCTGTCAATCTCATGAGTCACGATGCAGGAGAATAGGTCAGAGGGTGCTGGTGTGAAGTTTAAGTAAGAAAAGGCCTGGAAGCTGAGTTCATCAACCGCAGACACAAAAGTGGGCCCGATTCCTTCTACAGGGTCCAAGTGATGCCTCCAGTTCACAGTCAACGTGGGTGGGAAGAGATTACTGACAAAACAGACCAGGGTGTTGGGCTTGCCAAACTCCAGGGGCTTCAGGGTGAACACGTCAACAATAGGAAACCCTGGTGGGAGGATTGAGGTGTGAGGGAAAGAAGTAACTAGTTTAGATGGTACCCCTGAGTTTGGAAGAGGCGTGGCATACAGAGGAGAGGACAGAGACAGTGTCTGTCGGGACGGGCTTTGGGAGAAGAGATGAGGGAGGAGCTGGGGCTTGAAGGGAGGTCTTCCTCCAGGCAAGAATGAGACCTGGACCTAGAGGCAGAGCCAAACCCAGGCTACTCTGGGACCCTCCACCCTGACTTCCTGCAGGGCTTCCTGTCTAGACTTCACACGGGCATCTAATCACATGCTGTCTTCTTATTCAAACACAGACACATCTTAGGATACTTCCCTTCTCCCCTTCCATCCCACTGAGCATAGCAACACAAGCTCTAATTAATATTCAGTAGGCAACAATTGGTCCCTGTTGCATTCATCAAGTTCAATAAATAGCTCTGAACACCTACTATGTCCTAGGCACATGTCTTTGCCCCACAACAAAAACAGAGTGCAGACCATAGCTGGTAAGGGGAGACCCAGAAGGCATTAGATGAGGGGACTGGTGTGAAAGGGAATAATTCAGCGCACAGGTTGAGGAGGTTAAGGATGCAGCCCCTCCCCGCACCACCAGAAACACCCCTGACCTCTAGACACAGGGATTTGCCCTTCGAGTTTGGGTCCTATTTTCTGGACCATAGCTTGGCAGAACTCTTTGTCAAAGAAAATCGTGGAAGTATCTCCAGGCTTCTGAGCCCAGTCAGCAAATTCAGGCAGGCGAGGCACTCGGGTGTTCTGGGAAAAGTTGAAGGAGAAAAGCTGGTCCCCATCATAGGCTTCCGAGAGGCCGATGCTGGGACTCCAGTTCTGGCAGTATATCGTGTGCAGGAACGTGTGGTTTTGCAGTTCATCCCGCCACGCTGGGGTAGGAGCTGCAGAGGAGACAGGGTGAGTCAGGGAGGGGGGACTCTCCTCCTCCCCTTTAGCTTAGAAAACAGCAAGGCCTGCTTCAGGCAGAGGGGGTAGGCTTCGGGTATAACCCCTTTTTGTGTCTGTTACTTAGGCTCTCAGGCTCTCTCTCCCAGTGGGGGTGAAGAAGATATTACAGGATCTCTCCAAACTTCCCCTGCCCATAAAAAGGCCCACCGTCTAAAGTTGTAAAATGTAAAAAAAGGTCTACTGTCTAAAGTGACAG